CCATCCAGGCATCAGGAGAGAATCAGGGCAGCAAGGTACCTCCTGAGGAACTGAGGCTTGTGCAGAAACCCAAACAACGATGGGAGTTGACAAGGAAGCAGGACAGCAACAGCCATGACTGAGCACTGTGAGAGGGTCACTCAGGTGTCTGAGAGAGGTGGATGCACACGGGAGGCCCAGCCTCAAAGGCCACTCAGGGAAGGATGCAGTCCTCCTAATGGAAGCTTTATGGTTTCCCAGGACCACTCCCCAAAACAGGCCAGAGATGGGAGGTATCAAAGGGCAGGGAGGCAGGTCTCCAAGGCAACCCAGCCCAGACAGTCAACAGACAATGCAGAAACACTGACTTAAGAGGGAGGATGCCAGCTCTGCAGTCTAATGGGGTAAGCACTGACCTCTAAGAAGGCTACAACAAGCACAGAGCAGGGAACCAGAGCTTGGAGGGAGGCTGGTCACAATATCTGGTCGCAATATCACAGATCCTTGCCCCAGACAGGAGATGCAGACCAGGCAATACAGGGATGCCGGATTCCTCTGCTTTCTCCTGAGACAAGCTGGGCCTCCACAGGCAGGCTTTGCTGCTTTTATTGAGCCAACAGACTAAGGCCTTGGCCCCTGGCACCCTTTGAAAGTCCACTGCCTCTGGTATTGTGATGTCTCCCCTCCCATGCCTATACCATGCAGGACCTACTGCATCTCCCTAATGCGCCTCAGGTCTGCCTGTCTCTGAGCCACCACGCTGTGTGCGGCTGTCATCTCTATGCCTCCCAGGACTACCCAGCTGACACCCGAGCCTGTGGAACTGGCAGGGTGCTTCATCTCTGAAGGCACTGTTGAAGGGTTCTGGGCTCACACACGCAACCCAGAGCATCATAGCACTTCCTCCCGGCACACTACATTGTCCTCAGAGACAGGATAAAACGTCCTCCTGCTAAGTAGTACCCGTGGCAACGAATTTAGTAATAATCTTTAAAAAAAATTTAAAGGTCCTGAGAAAGACCAGAATTAATATTCCTGAAATGTAATTCTAGGGTATTAAAGTAATAACTGCAATAACAACAGAATTGCTGTACTTTGGTGTATAAATATGATGTCTTGGTCTATTTGGCTATTTTTGTTTTTGTTTTCTTTGGTTTCTGAAAAAGGGTTTTTCGCTGTAACAGTCCCGTCTGTCCTAGAACTCATTTGTAGACCAGGCTGGCCTCGAGCTCACTGAGATCCACCTGCCTCTGCCTCCCAAAAGTGCTGGGATCAAAGGCGTGTGCCACCACCGTCTGGCCTGGATTGCTATTTTTATAAGAAACTACCACGATCTGAGTGGCTGAGCAATGCCAGCACATCTATTCCTCATAGTTCTGGTCCTAGGACGAAGCGGTGTGTGAGGAGGGGCCCACAGTGCTGACTGATGAGGGAGAAAATACCCGAGGCAGCACAGCTGAGGGTCCCAGTGTTGGGGTGGGGGTGCGGGCTGTGCTCATAGCATCTCACAGCTTTTCAGAACTTGGAAGAAAGCTGCATAATGCTAGTGCCCTCTGGGCCACAAGGCCTTCACACTTATGAATGAATGCCTGATTGCATCCCTGGGACCTGAAAAGCTGAAATGGTTATCTGGGAATGACACGCCTTACCAAATCTTTCTTAACAAGTGAATGACGGAGGAACTTGCTGAATACCTCCTCCGTTTCAAGTACCACTAGCCCCACTTTTCTCTTTCAAGCACCTCCCAGGCAGGCTCTGCCCAAGATTACAGGCATGGTAGAACGGAGAAGCACAGTCCTACCAAATGCCCTGAGCGAGAGTGATGCTCTCAGGTGAACCTTCTTTGTATATAGACACACACACACACACAGATGTGTGCACACAAATACATGCAGTCAGAGGAATGAAAAAATCATGTACACATGCATTTCTTAGCTGCAACCATTCATATGTACAAACACCACCACATAGGTGGTTCCGTTCACATGTTAGCACCAAGCACATGCAGTCAGATACATACAACCACATACCATTCTGACATGTCCACTGAAGTCCCTGACATTTCACAGAGCACTTATTAAAAACACCACCGACCGAGTCTGCAGAAGCTGCAGGTCCAGCCTGGAGTCCTCACTTTACAGAAGGAACCCCAACCAGGCTATGACAGGGCTAACACAACGTGTACTGTCCAGAAAAACAAAGACAATAGCTCCCATCCAACCAGCACACACTGACGGCAAGTCAGAGCCTCAACACTGCTTTGGGCTTCTCCTTGCTGCTCTTACTCACTGATTCTTTTTATGTAATAGTAACAGAAACTATTTCATGTGCTAAGGGTAGCATATTGATATAGGAAGAAGGCTGTAGGGGATAGTTCCTCAATAAACCAACTCTTCCTGGGGACAATGATCATGGCGCATGCCAGTCACTGCTGGAGGTGTTGGAAAGCAAAGTCCTTCATCTAAAGAGCCCTTCCACCAGATCTCAGTGCACGAGCTGTTCTTACATATTAGAACAAGACATGTGTGGGTATTAGACAGGTGGGACCACTGTAGGAGCACTTTCCATAAAGGGATCTTGGGAGACACAACTCTGACGGGCGTACTCCAAAGCTGGAGGAAGGCTTTGCACTCATCTGTCCATCCCTCTGGTTCAATCGCTCTGTGGGTCCTAGCCCTAGATGGAGAAGCAAATCTTGTCTTTGCTGAGACTACCGCTCAGAAGAGAGCCCAGGTCTGTATGGACTCAGCGGACCCACTATTACCCTGTCCCCAGACTGCACATAACTAGCTAATGCTGACTCCAAGGGACCACCTCAACTCCACTTCACCTCTTTATTTTCAGATTTGAGGGTCATGTTTAGAGGTCCAATTGCTTTTATTTATTTTTACTTATTAACATTATCATAGGGGATTTCGTGTGGGACATGGGCAGAGGGCAGAGGACAACTCTGAGGAGCCAGTTCATTCTTTCAAACTTTATGTGGGTTTCGGGAACTAATCTCAGTTCCTCAGCTCTTACACAGCAAGTGTTTACTACCTGCGCACTTTCCCAGCAAGGTCACCTCTGCTAACCAACCAAAGAGCTCTGTTCACCTCATGGGCACTAGTGATCTGCCCTCAGCTCTTTTCCTTTTCCTTTTGGCCATCAGGACGGAGAGACCCCGCCTGTTCCTGTGGCTGTACCACTGCCGCTGTCTGCCTTACACATCAGTCTGGCACATGGAGGCCCCTCCCCAATCAATGAGGCTCCACCCACCAACCACTGCCTAGTTGACCTCAGCATCCATGACATCTTCCCAGTCCCCTGTACTCTAGGGCAAGTCATGACTTAGAGCCATGTTGGACTGTAGGAAACTGCCTTTAAGCTAAAGGCCGAAGAGGCCCTGCACTACAGGGGGTGAGAGGAGAGCCCCCCCCCCACGACAGGGGGTGAGAGGCGTGAAAATGGGATGAGAAGAGGAATCTGGGATAGGAGTGCAGTGGGAAGAGATACCTGGGATGGGGGTAAACAGAGACACAGACGACCCCCAGCAGGCCTGGGATGGAAAGAAACACTTGGGACTGAAGTAAACAGAAGGACCCCCAGCAGGCTTAGGTTAGTAGGAGACAACTGGGACTCAGGTAAACAGGGAGAGCCGGGAGGTGGTGGCGCACGCCTTTAATCCCAGCACTCGGGAGGCAGAGGCAGGAGGATCTCTGTGAGTTCGAGGCCAGCCTGGTCTACAAGAGCTAGTTCCAGGACAGGAACCAAAAGCTACGGAGAAACCCTGTCTCGAAAAATCAAAAAAAAAAAAAAAAAAACAGGGAGACACCCCCTCCCTAACAGACCTAGGACGGGAGGAGATATCTGGGGCTCAGGTACAGGGGAGACACACTTAGCAGACCTAGGATGGGAGCCACAGAGGACAGCAGTTAGCATGTTCTTTAGTGCTGTGTGGCAGAGGGCATCCAACCGTAACACTACCGACCAGGCAGATTCCCTTAACTCTACACAGATCCTAAGAGGGCCCCACTCTCAGCCCACTCCTGGCTCGCCGTGGTCCATCTTCCCTCTACTCCAAAACTTCAGGAGGTCAAAAAGAGAGAAAAGAGCCAAGGCAGTCCTAACGCTATAGAGGCCTAACAGGGACACCCTGGAAATCGTCCACAAAGGAACTGCTGGGGGTGTCAATGAACACTACAGTCCAGCACTCGGATTCCAAGCTAGGCAGACAAGAGGTCAGGCTAGCCTGCTGAAGGAAGAAGCAAAGCTAGGCAGAAATAAGAGTGACCATGAAGAAAACCCTAAACCTCCACAATGGACTGGACACGGAAGAACTGTCCCCATCATTCCCCAAAGGCCCAGTCCTTAAGGGCTGTGTGATGGAAGGCAGTTACACATTCATTTTGGAGACTTATCAGTGTACCATCAGAAAAGAATTCAAAGTTGCACTAATTGTAAGGTTTAACCATCAAGAAGGTGCCAACATACAATGGACCCAAACTCGGGCTGGAGAGACGGCTGCACTGGCTGCTCTTCTAGAGGACCTGTGTTCAATTCCTAGCATCTACATGGCAGCTCACAACTGTCTGTAACTCCAGTTCTAGAAGAAACAACACCCTCATCCGGACATACACTCAGGGAAAAAAATGAAAGGAAGGAAGGAAGGAAAACACATAAAATAAGTAAGTCATTAAAACAACAACAAATGGACCCCAACACAAGAATAGGCACTTCACTTACAAACTGTAAGATTTGAAGTGTAAGCTATAAAAGACTTGACATGAAGTCACAAATTGCCCATGGCAGCCTACTTTCCCATGGTAATAGCTCAGCTCTTTCTAGAAATTCTCCTTAGGAGTATTTATCTGTATAAACATGGGAAGGCCTGCCAGGTGGGGGTGAAGAGAGGCACAACAGGGAAATTCCATGACTTAACTCTTGGAAACTCCCAGGCGAAAGGCAGTCTTCATTTTACTCCCCGTCCTCCCTCCCTCCCCAGGGTCTAAGAAGTGAGCGGTTCCAGGGCATGGACTTACCTCGGCAAGCGATCCCTTGACCAGCAATGGTCTGTCTGCACACTCCACAGACTCTGGGCTTTTTAAAGTCCTTTTTCTTAAAACTGTGAGGACATGTAGTAAATTCTTCTGGCTGAAAGAGTAAAGGAAGAAACTGTCAGCACTTCAGCTCGTGGCATCTTCTTTTTTTTTTTTTTTCATTTCTTTCCTACGAGATAATAAATCTAGCAAGCCTTGAAAGGGGCTGAAAGAGGAGCTTTACCAAGCAAACTACAGTTCCGGAAAAGAGTCGGTGGATGACATTCTGGAATCCAGAGGGCAGCTCACCCTCTGTCAGTAGGTGCATCTCCCCTAGGATGCTTCAGGAGTGAGACCTTAGGCAGCTACCTGGGTGATACTATGTTCCTTCCAGCCTCCAGCCTGACATCATCTACTGCAATAACAAAGTAACCACACACCCCTCCCTGACCCTCAGGCTTTTTCTTCGAGGACAAATGATTAGCAAAGAGCAAAATGAAGTTAAGAGGCACTGAACAGTTTTCCTTTCAAAGGTGTCCCAAAATAACCACTAAGATTCAGAGATTCGGGGGCTAGCGGTGCTGGGATGTGCTCTTCTGTAGAAAAGACAAGCCTAGAATTAGCCGAACGCACAACGCATGCTCCGTCCTTAACCACGATGACAAGTATCTGTATGAGGAGATTAACTTTTATCCGTCAAGTTCGTGTTTACAGAGTCTGAGGCTCTTAGAAAAGTTCGTTGTGTTAAGAAACATCCCTATGCCTATTTACTGATGACAGGGCATGATCAGTAACTATTAACCATGCAGATACTATCAGCACACACACACACACACACACACACACACACACACACACACGGAGGTCACTGCACACCCACCAAAACAACTTACATTTACTGAGAAAATAAAATGTATCATGTCTCATGTCTCATGATCTTAGTACCAACTGCTTTGGGGAAAAAAAGCTTGATAATTTCTTACAAACTTTAAAAGATGTGACAATCTAGTTTACAAAGTATCTGGGGCTGCAGGAAGTGCTTTACTCTCTGTACAGTCCCCAGCACTCAGGCAGTGTAGTCAATATACTATTTTCCCTGACAATTAAAAGAACTGTCCCAAACAAGAAATAACCTAATAACTAGCTCTTGTAAGAAGAATGAATTTTTCAAAAATGTTGGTAGTACGACAGAATAGTGTTTGGAAACACAGAGGCGCCTATTATCTGTGCAGGCACATGGATGGAAACCATCTCGCTATCTACAAGATGCAAGGATATCAGAGTTCTAGGACGCCCGCCACCATTAAAGCACATCTGAGTCAACAGAAGTAAGAACCATAGAACGCACTGCACGGCAGTGTGGGCACAAACCCTGAAGGAACACTGTTGAAGGGAGCTTGCTTCATGCCCTGGATGGCAGCTACAGAGGGCACAGAGTTCAAGCTTCAGAATTGTACATCGGACTAGCTAAAATCTACAGGAAACGGGGAAAATGTAGATCTAAATAAAATAACAATCCCAGGAAGATGTGACAACCTGCTTTTCAAGGACCTCAGGTGATGTGGACCACCACGACAGCATTTTTTATTTACTTAGCTCTGAATCCACAGAATCTTTCATTGCTGGCGCAAAAGTATTACTAGAGACTACATGTATTCGCACACCTAGAATCATGCACAGAATAAACAGAACCACTGTTCTGAAATCACTGCAGCAGGAAATGAAGAGTTGTGATGAGGATGCTTTGGTCAGCGACGCCCCTCATGCGCCAAGGTGTGCTGAGCTTGAAATGAGGCTGAAGTCTTTTCACTTGGGGATTTCAGGGCAATCGTAATTTATGTAAAGACACTCTGTGATACCATCACAAAGACAACCACACCTGATGACACACATACTAACTGCATCCTTGTTCAGGGACCCATGATTGCACTTCACATGGAAGAATAAGTTGGGGTGACCCTCCTGTCTCACTCACTCCTACCGCCACTTCTGTCTGAAGAGATTCTCTAGGCTGCAGAGAAGATTCAAGCTGAGTCCACTGAGATAACTCTATTGAGGAAGGCAAGAAGAGTTTCCTGGACAGGTTACCACCGAACAAAGAGCTGCAGAATTCTTAAGGCCTGCAGAAAAGCTCATAAAAAGCACCAGTAATGAAGTGCATATCTATGGCCATCAAGGATATAGAGAAGAACCCCTGAACCCTCCAACACACACCCTATGCCTCTCCAGCAGAATTAGAGAAACAGGGTCCTGTGTTCCCCAGAGCTGAGAACAGTGCTTGCCTGCTGTAGGTCAGGAACCCCAGCTTTGCCCTGTTTTACAGGAGATGCAGAAAGACCATGCCTTGTAAAGATTAGCTGTACTTTGAACACCTCCCTTGGCCTGCATAAACAATCTGAAAAACACTGCCCCAAGGCTGTTACTGCTGTCCTGAAACACGACTGCATTTCAGAGAAAAAGCACACCAGAAGACCACAAAGGCCACAAAATTCCCAAGAATCCAAACAAGGTAAAATTCACCAAGTCAAAACTTACCAGACACTCAGGGAGACAAGAAAGTAAATAGAATTCATAACTAGAAAAAAAATGATGGGAAAAAAAAGAAAAAAAATTATGGGAATTGACTGAGAAGTTAGAATTAGTAAACAGGGACATTGAGGGTGCTATTAAAATTGTATTATAATTCTCGAAATGGGGAGATCTAAACACTGCACAGAGAGCCGAAGAAAACAATGGCAAAAGAACATGCAATCTTCAGAGTTAAAAAAAATATTTAGGATATAATTATTGGCCAATGACTCAAAAGATATAGTGAACTTAAAAAAAAATCATTACAATTAAGCTCGGTGGTGGCTGCACACACCTTGAATCCCAGCACTGGGAAGGCAGAGGCAGGTGGATCTCTGTGAGTTAAAGGCCAGCCTGGTCTACAAGAGATAGTTCCAGGATAGACTTCAAAGCTACACAGAGCAATCCTGTCTCAAACTCCCCCCCCTACACACACACACACACACACACACACACAAATCATCACAATGAAAACCTCCCATATAAAGCAACAAAATGAGATAATGTACATATAAACAAACAAACAAGTGTCCAGAGCCACGCAAGACAAATAAATGTTTACTTGGCGCCCCTAATGGGGCAAAAGCACAAAAAGGATACTGGAAGGCATAATGACTAAAAAATGTGTGGAAATGCAAGGAAAACTGCAAAGACATAGAGCCAAGAAACAAAAGTTGGCTGTAACTATGCCAAGGCACATGAAAACAAATTATTCAAACCCAGTAACAAGGAGAAAAACCTTAAAAACACTGGGGGCGGGGGGCACATCACATACGCGGACAAACAATTAGGATTAACAAGATTTCTCACTTCAAGATTGTTCAGCTATGTGGCCGGAGAGACGGCTCAGCCCTTAGGACACAGACTGCTCTTCCAGGACCTCAGCTGAGTTATCAGCTTACACAACAGGCGGCTTACACCTACCTGTTACTCTAGTCCAAGGTTTGATACTCCTGGCCTCCAAGGGCACCATCCTTATGACATACAGATACGCTCATATGCACACAATGTTTAAAATGAGCATAAATGTTTAGGAAAATAATAAATTTCAAAACATCTGGGTGAAGTTAGTGAAACAGTACAAAATACCGAAGAAAATCAGCCAATTTAAACTCTGCAGTCAAAGTATCTTCCAAAATTGAAAGACTTTTATAAACTTATTAAGATATTTACTCCAAAGCTGAAAGCTAAAAGAACTTGCCAACAACTGGCAAATACCACAGACATATTTAAAATGGTCCTCAGATAAAAGGAAGACGGAAAAAGAGACTCTAAAGCAGAATGAAGAGCGCCCAAACGGGAAATCATGGGTAAACATGCACGTTTTGTCCTATTAAAAACCACTAAAAGGTAACTAATCATCCAATACAAAGCCATGTGCTATAGTAGTTATGAAATGAAATCAGTCTAGTTTTCTCAACTGAAGAATGGATGATGAAGAAGAAATACAAACAAAGGAATTTTATTCAGCTGCAAAAGAAAACAGATGAACCCAGGAAACATTATAATGAGTTACATATATGAAGTCCAGAAAGACAAAGGCTGCATTTTTCTCTCTCATATATGGATGCTAGCTTCAAATTTTAAATCTATATGTTTAACTTGGGACTGCCCAGTGAGGGAAAAAAAGAAAAAGAAAGGTAGGAAGGAAGGAAGGAAGGAAGGAAACTAGAATTTTTCCCTGCATTCACCTTTGACTGTCTAGACTGGGTGGTTGCCTTTGGTACCTTCCCTCTCTAGCCTGTTTTGGGGGAACAGGCATGGGAAACTATGCATCCTTTCCTGAGGGGTCTTGGAAGCTGGGCTTCCATGGCTCCACCTCTTGCCCAGACACTTGAGCTCCCCTCTCAGGCCACTGAGCGAGCAGGGGGCTTAAATCGGGGCTCTGGGAGAACATGAGTGGTATGAAAATAAAGAACACCAAGGGTGGAAAAGTTTAAGTGGAGAAGAAGGGAGGTGGAGAAAAAGAGGTAGATAGAAGCTAGCCAAACTATGGAATGAAGAAAGAAAGAACCACATTGAAACCCACAATTTTGTGAGGTGAACTTATTTTAAACATATATTTCTTAAAGAAAGTTTAAATGGAAGCAGCGTGCATAGATAGACAATGCTGCTCCCAGAAGGCACTGGTTCTTAGATGAAAATTTCACTGTCAGGCTTTTAATACCTCCCTATGAGGTGTTGGTCAGGGACACCTTAGAGCTACCCAAAATAATACAAACAATTGTCATGGTTTAGAAGAAGACACATCAAAGAAGCTGTGTTCACAAAGGCATAGCCATGTTAAGACCTGGGAGAAGATGGCTACCTACAAGTGAAGAAGAGGCCTCAAAACAAACCAACCATGCACACACCATGAATGATGTCTGTGTCCTTCCTCAGTTGTTTCAGGAATGCATTTCTGCTAAGCCACCATGTCGGGGGCATTGTTATGCAACCCTCTTTCAGCAATCGACAGATCCAGTCAGAAAATAAACATGGATACAAATGATTTGGATGATAGTATCAAACAGTTTGACCTAACAGAAACAGAATACTTGACTTAAGAGCAACAGAACGCACATTCTTTCAAGTGCATTGGCGTGTTCAGCCCTATTGTGGACACAGAACAAGTCTGAACAAATCAAAATGCATTCAAGTCCCACTGAAAAAGAGAAGTCTTCTTTGACCACAATGGAATCAAAGTTGGGAACACAAACAGCAAGCTCTGGAAAATTCCCAAACAGTTGTAAACAAAATAAATAACCCATACTATGTTGTGAAAAGTTGGCTTATCCCAGAAATACAAGAGTTCATACATTGAAAATATCAATCAATTAAATACCAGGAATCTGGAGGCTGAGGCAGGGAAATGGTAGAGGCCAGACCCTTTCTCAAAAAACAAAACTATCTAAAAAGCAATTAATAAGAAGGGAACCAGTTGGTCTTCTAAATCAATGAGAAGAACCCACTGGCAATATCCAGCATCCTTTTCTGATAATATCTCAAACAAAGAAAAAGGAGCTTCCTCGCTTGATCACATGTGGCTAGATAAATCCTACAGCAAACATCCTTAGTCAGAGGAGCCCAGGCTTCCTTTTAAGATCTGCAGTAGTGCTAATCAAGACTTCACATCAAGAGTCTAAAAGGTTCTAAAACGTACAATGAGGCGAAAAAAGGAATTAAAAGGCACCCCATTTAGAAAGCTGTAAAATAGGCTTCTTCCTGGTAGCCTGACAGCCTAGATAGAAAAATCTGATGAATCTACAAACAAACAAAAACCTTTAGCAACGCTGGAGGCAGGGGATGCAAGACCAACACATCCTTCTGTCCACATGTCACCAATGAGCTCTCCCGACTAAAATTCAGAAACCGTGGCCACATCCAAGAGCATAAGAGGCCATTTCTAGATTTAGACTCAAAGGCTTCAAGTTCCTTGGCTGTGTGGATACTTCCCAGCCTACCTATCTCCCTGTTCTTGCTAGGATGTAGACAACACGGTCACAGAAAGAGAAAGTGCCCTGAACCCAGCAGAAACTTCTGCAATTGCTCTGCCATCTACGTTTAAGCTTGGCTACTCCTTCTTATGCCTGTGTCAAAATAGATATTGCCTACGTGATAGCAGACACCCTGTTTCCAGAGCCCTGCAAGAGTCTGCAACATTCACACAGCAAGTCACTTACATGTAGATATCACAATCCCCACAGACCCAGATGGAAAATGACATTCAAGACCTAGAGCCCATAGGCAACCAATGAGGGATAAGGCTCACTCCAATGCCACACTCAGACAGGCAAGGGAGTTCACCCTTCGTCACACCCAGGCTGGCACATACCTTTTCTGCCCAATCTCACAGCTCTTTGTTTATAATCTTCTCTCTTGTGCTAGACCCCTATATCCTAGGTGTGGGGTACCAAGTTCTTTTGCCTTTGTCCTCTGTGAGCCCTGCCCAGCTGGCAGATAGCAGACCACAGTCCCTCAATTAAGACTTGTGCACTAAATGAATTGGCTGTAGTCTGTGGGCCAGGGAGAGACACTGTAACATTTCATTGGTCACAAACACCTTTATTCCAAGCAAGGAGAAAGAGGTACTGTTTCCCTACCAGGCTCTTGCTCACTGGTCCACAGTTAGAAGCTGCAAAGTGGAAACAGCAGAGGCACTGTGGTGACTGCTCAGCCATTTCAATTGCTGGCTCCCCGGGGAGTTTATTAAGATAGTGTAATAACATCTGCTCACGTGCACCCTACATAACATCTCTCTTGTGAAAGAAGCCTGGAAGGAGTTAGACTGCCCTTGTCTTCACCTGATCCCCTGCTTTCATTTCTCCTGGAAAGGGGGAGGAGGGTCAGCAAGGCTAGGCAGTTGGCAAAGCCAGTTCAGGAACCTAAATTGCATTTAATTGTTAGAAGCCAAACTGTGGAAGCCTAACCATTAAGGCGGCTGATTCCACAAGGACACCAGGAGAGGGCCAGGGCAATTAGCCTTGATAGTGAGGTCTCTGGAGGGTTGGGAAGCCCTGCGTTTAGCGGAAAAGCAAAACCGCACAGGGAACCCACAGCCAGGTTCTCTCCACCAAAGGTCACCGTGGCTAAGTAGTTTCATAGTACAAGGATGTGTCTGCACAATCCAAGCTATATTTTCCCTTCAGGAAATATTCAGCCCACCACAGGAAGCAAATGTAGGTGAATTGGGGTAGCTAGCTAACATTCTAAGGCAACAGCACTGCTCAAAAACACATTCCCAGCTCAACCAAACCAAAACCCTTCTCTATCTGCAGAGCTGTCCGCAGACATAGCCACAGAAGGCAGACTCGCAGGGCAAGAGAGACCCCCCCCACACACACACACACACAGAAACAACATTAGCCTCACTTTTCAGAGCAGTGGTTTTCAACTCGTGGGTCACAATAGCGGCCCTTGCATGAGGGTTGTATATCAGATATCCTGCTTATCAGATATTTACGATCCATAACAGTAGCAAAATTACAGTTATGAAGGAGCAACGAAAATAATCTTATGGTTGGGAGTCACCACAACACGAGGAACTGTTATTGAAGGGTCGCAGCATTAGGAAAGTCGAGAACCACTGCTTTAGAACAGCCATGTGTGACTGCTGAAGCAAAGCTGACATACGGACCTCTCGTTATACAGAATCTCCCAAAAGTTTTCTGGGAAAACAATCGAAGTTGATGCTGGATTTATAAGACATAGAAAAGGGGGGTGGGGCCTCTACCGTGCGCCTGTTTTATCTGAACGCCAGAGGATGGTCCTATAATCTACAGGACGCTGCAGTGTCCGTGAAGACCCGGAAACTTGCACTAGACCTCTTCCAGGAGCGACCGGGTCATCTGCAAGAAACCTCCGCAAGAAACACGGGCGCGAAAGAGCGAGTCTGCGCAATGGCCAGTGGCCCGCCTCCGCTGCAGAGAAAGAGTCGCAAAGAAGCATTTTCGAGCGGTTTTTGACTCATATAGGCAAGGACTGTCCTGACTCCCACCTTGCCCCGGCCTTACCCGGACAGCAGGCTGCATCCGATTCTCCGTCCCTAGACACTGTCACACACTCGTGTTCACAGCCCAGCACAGTCAGACGAATGCGGAGCAGCCGGGGTACGCGCGCGCTCACAGTCCAAGAGTGCATAGCCTAGGGAGCCCACCCGGGACGCCCGCGTGCGTGCCCGAGGAAGCCCTATCAGCCCGCTGCGCCACACTCACCTGGTGCGGACGCCCACGCGCCCCGGTCTCCCGCGCCAACCTCGCAGGCGGGCCCGGGGCCAACGCGCGCCACCTCATGGCTACCTCTGCGATCCGCCCCCCTTCCACGGGCAATCGCGGGGGGCACCGACGGCTCCGAGTCCTGAGTGGGCAAGGCCCGGGTCGCGTGCGTCTCAAGCGGGCTCTGCAAAAGCTCCAGCCGTCAGAAGTCAGACGCCGGGAACAAAAGCCAGGCGCGAGTGGCGGGCCCCGCGCGGCCGCCCTCCATCTGACACGAATTAGCCCGCCCTCCCCCGCAGACCGCAGCCCACAGCCGGGCACCGCTGCTCAGCCAGACGCGGGAGAAGTGGGCGAAGAAACGCCTTCCCCCGGGGGGTGGGGGGAGTGGGGGCGCCTCCCTGCCGCCATCTGACTGGAATTACCGACGCTTGGCTCGGGGTTCGGCATTACTAGGATTTCAAACCTCTAGGAGCGCTGGCCCAGGGGCTTAAAGAGAATCAAAACGCAGCAGGTTCCCAGGGCTTTTGGCATTTTAAAATCTTGACTGTTATCCAGTCCACCCTGCGTCTGCGCTGGGAAGTATCGACCCGTAATCTACACGGCCCAGCTAGAGTGCATTTGGAGTAGGAAGAGGGAAAACACTAAGGCAGAGAGGGCTTATTACCAATCTGCTTCTGAAGCTTTAAAATAAAGGGGGGGGGGGGGGGGGAGGGGTGGCCTTACTGGAAAAGGTTGGTGGCTGTGGGGGTTCGGGCAAACCCCAAAGTAAGTGACTACCCACTTTGCACACCTGGGGGTAGGTGTCCATTCCCCATTCTCAGTGCCACCCGCTGCTGGACAATCCGGACAAATTTCTTCTCAACCTTTCCACTCATGGTCTGGTGTCTTAGAAAAAAATTAAAAACCAAGAGTGGGGGGCAGGATGAAGGCACTGGGATGGAGGAGGGCAAGCCAGGAGCCCAGAATGAGTGAGGGTCCCTTTTTAAAAGCCAAGAGGGCAGCCTCTCTCCTACCCCAGGCCTGCGGACCTGCGGACCTGCGTAGGACTGTATCCTTAAAAGCAATCTCCACAGCAGCAGAGTGTAGCTTCAGACAAGGCTAGTCTAACTTCTCAGACTACAGACAAGGCTAGTCTAACTTCTCAGACTACAGAACGACTGCTTTGAAGATGGATGGGTTCAAGTTGAAGCAATTGCTCTGGTCTCTTCGGTGCAGCAGAAGAGACCCCTGCAAAGGAGTCACGGGAAACCCAGCATGGAGCTCTAAACCTGAGGCCCTAGTGGCCCTGGCGCCAGGCCCAGCCCATGTGGCGTTCTAATAGCCCACAGTGTCCCAGAGCCCAGGCTCTGTGGATCTCACACTCTGACTTTGAGTCCATGTGCCCAAATGCCTTAGCTGGGAGGGCAGTCTGGGTGGGCTGCAAGGGCCTTTATGGTTACCACATGTGCAAATTCCAGCCATCAATTCAACCTCTCAGGTCCTGGCACTAAATATCCATCTTTCTGTTTCTGCAGTGGGGCAGCAATGGCTGCTCTTCAAGTCTCAACTACAAAAATAATAGAAAGAAAACAACCATGCCATCTAGAACGCCAATTCGTCATGCAGTTATCACCAGGTAGATATGCATGTGTTCTCTTCCTCGCCCCCTCAACTGAGATTTTTACTTCCTCTGTGGTCATCTTTCACTGTCTCGGTATCCCTTCGTCATTCCTGTTTCCCTGTAGCCACTAATTTAAGCCTTGGTTTTCGCAAGCCTCTCCGTCATAGTCCTGCATGCACCATCTCTATTCTCTGTTGCCTGGGGATCCCTGACTGTAGGATTTCATTCACTCGGGATCCCCACATCAAACCCAATAAGGCAGGAAGCAGTGATTCTCCTTTCTATCATGAGGTGTTGACTGCTTCAGCCCCAAGCCTTACTGAGGTGCTGACAGAGCCAGCAGAAGGAACCTGAAGATGCGGTGTCCTAAATGTAATAAGCTCTGAGGGAGAGTGTGGGCTCCACACACTCTGGGGTCCACTCAGATCTACCACTAAGAGGCAGGCACTGCCAAATGTGGACTTTCGTGTCTGTGATCCCAGCACTAGGAAGGCTGAGGCATCGCTCAGACCTGCCACACAGGGAGGCAAACATCAGAAGGTGCCTCTTTATTATAGGCATACCTGAATCTGCCGGAAGTTATTTAAAAGAACACGCCATTCAGAAAACGCCTACTCTTTATTACCAGTTATAAACTACGTGAATGTGACACACCTTCTCTCTCCTGACAGCAAACTGGTTTGTCTCCATCCTGGGGAGAATCAACAATTACAGCCAAAGACTCTGGGCCAAGGTCCAGCCAGAGCCTTGAAACCAGGGGACTTGCCCACAGTCCCTCATCAGACTGCACCTCTCCCGTACGTTCCCCGGCCTCCCTGCTGACCCCTCAGCCAGGCTCCCAGCTGGGCTCCACACTCCAGGTTCCTTCCACTCAGAGCCATGGTGCTCTCTTCTGACTTCTGGGCCTTTTTCCTTCTAACTGATAGCAACTGCTTTCTCTGGGCTCAGCTGAAGATCCACCTTCCACCTGGTCCCCATCCCCGGTGGTTAAACACCTCAGGTTCTAGAGCGGAATTCACGGCAGAGAAAACCAGTCCTCATTTGACCACCCAGATCCTGCAGCAGCACCCTGCAGGCCCATGCCCCACAGGCACAGTGTAGTATGGACACAGATAAGAAAAGGTTCTTCTTTGTTCTGCTCCCTGGCCACTCACATTGGTGGCATCACACCCTTACCCACCCAGTTCTACCTCTTAAGCAAGCTGTGGGCAGACAGAACCATGGCCTGGGACATCCAGAAGCCATGGTAGGCAGCCAGCTCTTGTGGTGGCTGATTCCATCCAACGCCTGAGTGGCAGGCTCTGGCATCCCCACTCTGCAGACAGCAGCGAGAGACAACTTTCTCCCCAGCCTACTGCTTCCTTTCTGCTTTGCCCCACTCCTTAGTGCTTCCCACTGCCCAGACTGGTCTCCCCTTGGCTTCTGGCTGCACTTGGTCCCCAGGAACAAAATGACATTCTTTTTGCATGGGGCAGGGGAGGCTAGTGTGGACTGAGATTTGGATGGGGGGGGGGCAGCATTTTCCAGGCAAGGGAGAAAGTGAGAATGTGTTTGGGTGAGTAGGCCAGACATGGTGGCTAATGTCCAGCTAATAATGCTCGAGAGAGACAGGATGCAGGAAAGAGGTTGGGGGACTGAGCAAGATAGCAAGAAGCAGTGACAGGAGAAAGACCCCACCTGGGCCAGACTGGACCCCTGGTCATGTGGAAGTAGGGACTCTATGAAGATATCCTGGATGAACAGTCTGGAGTGAGTGCAGGGGTGATTGTATGTCGTGGAGAGTAGAGGCAGAGTTCCCTCTCCCAACCCCCTGCCTGGAAAAGCTTTGAAATGTGAACAGGATGACAAGGAAGAGACGTGACGGGAGACTGGATACCTGCAAGAGAATGAAGCCTCCTTCCTGCCTTAGAGGAGTAGGGAGAACATTCTACAGGAGGCAGATACACTGGGGCAGCAGTGAATCTCATCTCTTGGCATAGGTACACTTAAAAGTGAGAATAAGACAGACAGCTACCCTCAGCTCTGTCCACAGGGGTCAGGGTTAGAGAAACAGAGCCTGTGGCAAGGTTGCACCCACAGGAATGACTGAAGAGCACACCACAAGGACAATGGAGACAGCCTGGAGCCTATAGCCTAACCCTCAGAGGATGCCAATGGCAAAACAGTGAAAATATTACATCACAAACATTAGGCAATAGAGTCCTTGAATCCCCATTCTTACAAACAAATAACATAGTTAGAATCTGCATAGGGGTCAGCACCTCCCACCTGGTAAGACAGGGAAGGTGTGGGATTCCCCTCTGTGTGCTGTGAATACCACTGGTTAATAAAGAAACTACCTTGGCCAGTTGATAGAGAAGAACGTAGGTAGGCAGGAACAACTAGACTGAATGCTGGAAGAAAGGAAGCAGAGTCAGAGACAAGCCAGAGACGGACGCCAGAACTTTGGATGCCGGAACTTTAGCCGGTAAGCCACAGCCACAAGGCAATATACAGATTAATAGAAATGGGTTAAATTCAGATGTAAGAATTAACCAATAAGAAGCTAGAGCTAGTGGGCCAAGCAGTGTTTTAAATAATATGGTCTCTGTGTGATTATTTCGGGGCTGAGCAGCCGGGAACCAACAAGTGGCCTTCTTCAACAGGAAGGGATAGGCAGAACTATAGGAGATGCTCCTAGAGAAGACGGGGCAGGGCTATACAGGGTTTGTAAGGCAGGGTTGAGACCAGCTTCCATTCATCCTGAAGGGGCTACTATGGGATCACAGGCAGAAACACATCCTCTAGCATTGATTTCCTTGGAGCATAAAGAGCCCACAGTACCTTCCTTATAAAAGGAAAAGAGTAAGTCTATGATTGAGAAGGTGGTAGACTCTGGTGTCAATCAAGAGGTTAAGATAACTGTGACCTTGGACCGGGCAAGCCTTTGCCAGTGCTAACAGGAAGCCACTGGCAGCTCTTACCTGCAGAAGTCTCTAAACCTGGCTTTCTCCTTCCCAGAAACATCTTGGGGACAAGGAACGCACATCAGAGAGCAGTAGAACAAACTAAAGATGTTGCATTTAAGGTGCTTGACCCAAAGTACATGGTAGAAAAACAGTTGTTACCACTAAGATGGACGTAGGATAGCAGCCTGCGTGTCTTCACCCCTAACACTGCTTTAACCTCTAAGGGACACTGTGTCTCATAAAATCTGCCTTGGCATCCACCGCATCTGGGAAGAATCCTGGAGCCACTGACCTCAGGGGGCAGGCCTTAGTCTACCAACTCACAAGCATGCCTTCACTGGCCACAGAGTTCAAGACATCGGTCAGGACAGCAGCTTAGGGCCAACTGTCAGTCTGTGCAGCCACATCTGGAGACTTCTCTGTCAACAACAGATGGTGACTTCTGACTTCGTAGCAGGGTGTTCCACCAGCGCTGAGGAAACATGCCCCACTTCCCCTGTTCTCTCCCATCATATACTTCCTTCTCCTGGACTTAGAGAAGTAAAGAAAAACTGCTTTTCCTACAGATCTCATCCCGATTGTGAGCTTCTGGTCTTTGGTATGAAACTTTGGAAACACAGGAGTTTTGTTCCCAAGCCACCCTCCTATGGCTTTCTGACCCTGAG